CTTAGTAAAATTGATGACACTAAATTTAAAAATGCAAAAACAGAAGGGTTGCCACATATTTAAAAAATAAAATTCACTTTAATTAAGGGAATAAGGTAATTTAAAAGGAATGTAATCAGAACAAATCACTGATTGACAATGTATGTATTTTTAATAAAATAACAAATATGATGTCGCAAACCTTTGGTTTAACATCTATATATCAATACGCTAACATAAATTTTGTCTCCGTTCGTTTGGCGATTCTACCGAACCGATTTCAGAACCAAGAACACCGTTGGAAAGGCATTTTTCCGTAAATGAGCAGGTTTCACAATTGGTTGAAAATTACGGCCAAAACCGTCGTTTAAACATTTTCGAATTGTGTATAGATGTTGCTGCAACATGTTAAATTTGACATGTTTCGCCTGTTGTTTCACTACACATTTGAAATTAAGCTTTGAAATAAAGATAAATATGAAGATGAAGAAATAAATGATAACGATGAAGTAAAAAAAAGAAGCCAGAAGTGAAGATAAAGACGAAAATGGAGACAATGACAGAATTAAGAATTAAGGTAACTGAAAGGGTAAGAACATTTCTTGAATTTATGAAGTGAAACTTCTTTAGCGGCAGTTCGTTGGTTGGGAGTAAATTGTCAAATTCAAGGGAAATAATGCACATGGAAATGGTTCTCAGCGGTTTAGCGGTTTGAGAATAAAAACAAAAACAAAGATGCCTAGAGGTACATGGCAAAAACGAAGATCAAAGTAAATTTAAACACTTTAAGGTAAAGGTGAAGAGGAATATGCAAAAATAAAGATAAATATGAAGAAAAGGATGAGGATGAAGATCGATATTGGTATTGATATAAAACTCGATATTATTATCGATGTAATAATCGATATTGCTATCGATAAAATAATCGATATTGTTATCGATACTGTTATTAATTAAATAACCGCTATTGTAATCGATATAATAATCAATATAATAATCGATATAGTTATCGATACAATAATGGATATTGTTATCGGTACAATAATCGATTAAATAATTGATTTTGTTATCGATTTAGTCATTTATATTGTTAACGATATGTACAATAATCGATACTGATGATTGTTATATTTATCGCTGAATTAATCGATTTTACAATCGTATTTTTCTATATGTGTATGGATATTGTTATCGGTATTTTTATCAACACAGTTATCAACAGGGTTATCGATACACTAATCGGAACATCGAATGTGATCACATTACATGACATCACATCACATTTTATCACATGATATGAAGAGACATCACATGATATTGCATCACATAATATGATATCACATCACACGATATCACGTGACATGACATTATATGATATGACATCACATTATATGGCATGACATCACATGACTTGACATCAGATGATATGACATCGTATGACATCACATAGCATTATATGATGTGGCATCACATGATATGACATCACATGGTATGACATCATATGACATGACATCAGAGGATATGACAACACATGACATGACATCCTATCACATCACATAAAATCACGTCACATCTTATCGCGTCATCGCACCTCATCTCATCTACGTGAATAGAAAAAGAAAAGGATATAAGCAAAGATGTGAAAGATAAAAACAAAGATGAAGACCAAGGTAAAGTTACCGATTTCAAAGCCAGAAACACCGTCGGAAAGTAATTTTCTGTAGATGAGGACAGTTTTTGTAGTTTCGAAATTGGTTGAAAATCGTCGTTTAAAAATTTCCATATTTGTTAATGGTTGTTTTTGCAACCTGTTCAGTTCAAGCGTTTCGCATTTAGTTTTACTTCGTATTTGAAATTAAACTTTGAAATAAAGATAAATATGAAGATGAAGAAACAAGTGATAACGATGAAGACAAAAAAGGCAAAAGTGAAGATAAAGGCGAAAATTGAGATAAAGGCGAAAATGGAGACAATGAGAAATACATAAGAATTAGGTTAACAGAGCTAAAATTTTCCGATAGGAATCGAAATAAAATCAGCCATAAAGGTTACTGAAATTTATCGAATCATCGAACTATATAATTATAAAAATTTATCCATGCTTATTAAGTTATCGCAACGTATCGAATTATTCAAACTGATCAATGTTTACTGAGTTGTCGAAATTTATAGACACAGAAACTTAGTTGTCCAAATTTACGGATAGTTATCGAGCTATAAAAACGTGTGGGATTAACGAAATTTGTCAAGTTAAAGAAATGTATCAAGTTATCAATATTTATTGAATTATCATTATTTATAGACTTAACGAAATATATCGAGGTGTCGTAATGCATGGAGTTCTTTCAACTTACAGAGTTATCGATAATTATTGATCTACTGAAATTGGTTGCTTCAACGAAGCAAAGTTTATGGAATTTTCAAAATAAATCGATTTATCGAAATTTCAAGGTTATATAAGCTTATCGATTTATCACTGCTTATCGCATTTAATCGTATTAACAGAGTGTAACGAGTTATCAAAATGTTTAGATAGTTTTCGAAAAATGTGGAGATGTCAAAAGTAAAAATTTATAAAGGTATCCAAAGTTTTTACATTTTTGAGTTATCTAAATTTATCGTGCCATCGAATTTCACAGTTATCGAAATTGGTCGAGTTAACGAATTTTGTTGAGTTATCGAATTTTAGTGTTCTTGAAATTCATCGAACTATCGATATGTATCAAATCATTGAAATTTATCGATAAACTTGAATGTATCAGGTCAATTCCAAGCCCTGCCGGAGTCCTCCAAAGACCTTCACAGATAAAAAAAAAATTTAGTTACGTTTTAGCAGAAGATTTTCCGGTTAGTTAATTTGTACCGTATAAGTTTTGCTGCGTGTTAAGTTAGAAATCCTCTCTCGAATTTCGACAGTAACTGGCACTCTAGTAATTATTATTTTAGTGTAACTAAATTTGACCTTACAAACAGGTGGCAACCCTCTTCGTAGTATTTGCAAGCTAAAACCTTATTAAACCTCTTTCGTCTGACTCTCATATGGTGATACCTGTCTATTTCAATTACCTAATTTCTTTAATTCCAATGCAATTTGATTTTTTAGCAGGTGACAACCCTCTACATGTAGTTCAGAAATAAACCCTTATCATACATATTTCGATTGATACCCATCTCTTAATAATTCATTTAACTTATTAAAAAATTCGAAATTTGGTTTTGAAACAGGTGGCAACTCTTTAAAAAAATAAACCTCTATTGTCTACAGGTCAAGCTTTTTAATCTGACACATCATTTTTAAAAATAGAACGAATTGTGCAGATCTGATGGCACTGACAGAAAATTAAAAAAATGATTTTATGCATTAGCATAAACGCATTACTTCAAAAAGTGCAAAACATGAGCCGATTTTTATTTCTTCTTTCGAAAGCTAAAAACCCGTACTATTTAATTAAATACTACTATCTATGTGGAAATAAAAAACGTCAAACCAACATTTTATTTCAAACATGTATTTTTGACATTTGTTTCTGCGAAGAGCTTACGCACGGCTGTGCTCATATTAATATTCTTCGTATAAAATCTGTCGTCTTTAGTGCCTTCCTGGGGCCTATTTCATAAAGCGACAGTGATAGTTTTGTAACGACAGGCATTTTCCATGTTGTCAGTGACAATTCGACAGTTTGCTGGGTGTTTTGTTTCATAAAAACAATTGTGACCTCTTAAATTCTATGAGCAATTTCATTGAAAAAGTGACAAATTGTCATTGTCGGGGTTTAAAATTGTCGTTTACAAAATTGTCGCTAGTCATATGAAATTTATATGTAAATCATGTGTAATAATTGAATTTGCATTATTTTAGTTTTAAGAAATATTCAAATTATTGAAATGTAATGAAATGCGCGCAATTACCATATAAATAAATTTACAAAACTCTCCTGTGAAAGCTTCCCACGGAGCTATTTGGCTTTGTCGCCATTGTCGCGACAATTTTGTCAGATTGACAGTTGTCAGCACAATTGTCGACAATATTCCATATTATTACTGTCGTTTTCCAAAAATTTTCACAGTTGCCTACAAACGTATGTATATGAAAAAGGAAAAATGTCGCCGCAATTCTGGCAGTGAAATTTTATAGAAAAATCGACACTTGTCGCACCTGTCACTTTTATGAAATAGGCCCCTGGCGGCATATAATTTATTTTGTATGGAAATTCGTATTTCATTCTTTTTAGTGGATAAATTACCTTTACAAAAATACCAAACACGTTCACATTGCTGACAACGAATTTTTCGATTTTTGCCCATTTAGGCGGCACTGTGCGCCCTTGCAAAGTATTGAAAGTAAAAAAAAACGTCGAACTTTCATAGTGAAGGCCACAGTTTATGTTTTATTTTACTTACGAGAAAACGGTTAAGCTGAAAATTTGGACAGTACTTACAACACGAAAATTAAATAGAAATTAACCAACATCAACATTAACTAAAACTTGTTTCTAACTTTAAAACATAGCAAAGCGTGATTTAACAAGGCTGCATAAAGATGATTTAATGTTGCTAAAATAGTATGTTCGCTAACAGCTTGCGCGAAAATTGCGTTTCGCAAAATAACCCAAAAACGAACTAAGTATCTTTAAGTAACTAGCTAATCCCCACTATGCACCAACCAGTTTACTCATAAGTATTTTATATGCGTACTAATGTAATTGTTTACTGGCATTAACGCTTCCACATTTACTTGTATCGCAATTTCAACTGAATGCGAAATTATTGTCGTTTTATTTCCACGCTTTTGTTTGTCACACGACCGCTACGCTTTAATGGCTGATCTTTAAACGCCACCTTGTATACAAATGTAAATGTGAATATACGTTGCTGCAATGATGATATGTATGTATGAATTCTCTGACGACCTGCGCTGATCTTCGTGGTGTGGTATATGTCAAATATATTCACCACTTCTACGATTTGTACAAACATCTCTTCCGATTTGACTCAACGTCCAACTATTCATCGTGCGCTAGATCTGTATCAAGAGACTGTAAAGCGCTTTACACGCTCCTCACTTTCGCCAGAAATGGACCACTACACATCGTCACGTAATTCAACCAAATCGACAACGACATCCCAGAAATCCGGGGATGGGGATCGCCGCACCTCTTGTAAGTTATCGCAAAAGCACGTGCAAATTTTTTTTGTAGGTGAGCATTGTTACTAGCGTGGCGTATGACGATTTGCCACGGCGATCATATCATGCGGCCACTCAATGCTCATCTACAAGTGGTTTTCTTATGTGTGTAAATTTTTAATTTGTTGTTTGTTAATTTTTTCTCTATATTTTTGTTTTTCATTTGTTGCATTTTCTGTGTTTTTTCCTTTTGATTTCTGCATTCGTGTTTCATTGTTTCCCCACGTTTTTTATGTGCTTTGTGTGAAAAGTCGATTTGTATCTTGAGGCCACAGGTCGACGCCGCAGTTCAGGTAAGCTGTTTATTAATTAACCGCCCAAAACCACCTAACACACAGATACCAGCTATCTGCCAGATTAACCAAGCTCGATTTAAAATTAATAACAAAATAATTTATAAGTTTTTTTTTTTTTAGTTTTTTTCCATCCACTCGCGCATTTTCTGCAGGCCCGCAGCCTATGAAAATCAGTGATTGCAACTTTCCATTGAGGTCACATTCGTTAGTCAATTGCGCGCATTGGTTTCGAAAAACAATTTATTTTAGCAATGTATGTATGATCTCTGTGCGCATAAAAAATACTTTCAGTTTTTTTTCTTCGCAGGTGTACATGTGTTTCGACATTGAGTTTGGCGAGTTTAATGCGTTGAACCCATATTTGTTTCGCAATTTTGCAATTATTTTCTGTAATATTCCAGTTTTTTGTCAGTTTCATTTAGCTGTGCACATATGCCAGTTGCTGCTGCACCATTGCGCTGTCAATGCCAACGAATTGCGGGTGTACGCGCCTTCGCAACGCATTTGCATCGCTGCAACAGATGTGTGCCACTTGTTGCTGCCTTAATTGGACAAAGCGCATGCGCTTATAAACTCGTATTACTTTGGTTGTTGTTGTTACAGCGCTGCGCTCAATTAATTCAGTTTACGATTCGCTATGGAATACAGTCTTATGTCTTAAGTATTCTCTGCACAGTCGCTTTATTCAATTCAAAACTTCGTATTTTGATGGCGCCTTCACACAGCGTCGCATGCTTGCTTACTTACATACGTATTAGGCCTGAAACGTTGACAAAAGTACAACAAAATTTATAAAAATGGGATTTATGTTGTGTGTATTTTCCATTTTGCTAGCCTTCACGAAATGCTTCGAAAATAAAGGGTGTACGCTACTTTGACTTCAATGAAAAGTACCTACTTCATTAAAAAATTTCACAACTTTTGAGGCAACAGGGTGTTCATGTTTTTCAGTTCTGATGCAACATCGCATTAAAACTTTACGACTGCGTCGAATAAAATTTACCGTTACATTTGCGCCAATTTTTCTTTACTTACTTAAAATCTTAAAAAACCTTAAGTTTTGAAACATTTTTTACTATGATGGCTTTTCAAAACCGTAAGCTTAACAAGAAAAAAATTGCAAACTCGAAGCTATTTGTTTCGTAAAAGGTCCACAAATAAGTAAATTGTTAGTCCCCTTTCAGACACGTCAAGTCTTGCTTTCAAGTCTGCTCGTTCGAAGGCGAAGGAGGTGAGAAGAGAGGGGAAGAGTACAGATACCTCCGTACCGTCAATTCGTTTCAAGTTTTCTTGTCTCTTTTGATCTTTTCGTTGCTTCCCATTTAAAGAACCAAGGACCTGAATTCAATTAAAGTTGACGCGTGTGGAAGCAAATAGAAAACACAAAAGAGAATGCGAAAAAATTGCTTTCAAGACTTGACGTGTCTGAAAGGGGACTTAGAACTATTTAATTTTTAACACGTTTATATCAACTCGCCTTCTTGTTTATTAAGATTTTAGTATTATTTGTATTGTCCGTTTACCGATTCCATTTTCGGATACTTTGTCGGCGACCGAAACGTATGCACAGAAAAGTACCGAAAATTACTTGCTTTTCAAACTTAAGAGCGTGTCAAACGTGGCAATATTTCCAACTTTTCCACGCGATTCGCTGTCAAATTGAGAAAGAGAAATTGTATTTCGACGTGCGAATAGCCAAAAATACCTTTCCGATCAGTTCCTGAAATAAGAGATGCAAGGTGCGACTGCAACTGAAAGAAATCAAATCGATTTCGGAAATATATTTAAACTTGCTCGTGCTGCACTTGCAATTTTTATTTTTTCTACAAGTGCTGCCAAAATAATCGAGTGTTGTCGCGTGACACTGATCGCGAGTTTGTAAGAAATAATAACGGGCAATTTAAATAAAATATCAAAAATTCTTTAAATTAATTATTTTGCGGAATTTAATTGTTTAGTTATTATATATATCCTTCCACTGCGGGAAAAGCCAAAAAATGCTTTTAGAAATTTTCCCTGGAATTCGCCTTTCGGAAACAAAAAACCTCTTTTCAAAGACACTTTACATTCAAGTTGTGACTGCTCAGCAACTACTTTCTGAAATTTCTCAATTTGACTTTTTGAAATATATTGCATTGTACGCTCTACAGTCCGGAAGAAAATAACGAATATTTTAATTGCGCCTTACGGCATTCGAACCCGGCACCTTTTGAAAGCTAAAAAATATGTAGTAACACTACGAAAGACTTCGTGTATATGCTTTCAAATGTTCAGGTTGAACAAATAAGATAAAACTATTTCAAACGTTTTTCGGATACAAAAATGAATGAAAATTGACGTTGTCTTCTGTACGCTTCCGGGTACGAAAACCCCCATGTTTTTTGAACGGTTTTCAGAAAATTGGAACGTACGGAAACGTTTCCGGATACGAAAAATGTTCGAAACCGCTCTGTCGGCAAAATTTACGTTTCTCTGCTGGCTGGTGATACACATATGTATGTACAGGGTGGAGACCAATAACTGTTAACCAGGTTTTTTAAAAAATGAAAGGAGCCTTTATAGATTTTAGGATTTTATTGTTAATTTTTCACAGATTTTACTTTAATTTTATTAATTAGTTTTTAAATTTTAACCTTTATTTGGGTTTACCAGCGGTAAACACTTTTACTCCCCCTTTTGTCCAACATAAGGCCTCATACGCAGAAATCAAAAAAAAAAAAATAAAAATATAATTGAAAAATGCAGTCTTTCATTGCACTCAATAACTGGTTTGAGACTGCTCAGCAGAATGGGAAGATAGTCTAAACTCTTCATTTAATTTGAGCAGAATTGCAACTCAAGAGTACAATCGGATGTTATTGCATCCTACACAATCACATTTCCGCGACCGAAGTTCCGCCGGTAAAAAATGCATCGTTCTTGCTGTAAATCGTTTTATTATCCATTCAATACATTTGTACCAGCCAGATTGAATTTCTTTTCGTCTGAAAAGATAACCTAAGTCAACTTCTTAATAGTGAATTTTAAGGTAAAATAACCATTTTAAAACCTTCGTGAATTCTGTCAATTGCCATGCTTTTGCTAGCGAAATCCTTTCGAGCAGCTTTAAAATGTAGCAAAAGACGCGGAGCCGTGATCATTTCACCATACTCGAGGTGTTAGTAACGTTTTAAGGCCCTCCAAATAGTTTGACGCCAACGGGATCTGAAGATTTTGCTGTTAACTGCTGGCAAATTGTGAAGGAAACCAACAATATTCGTACCCTCTTGCTTGACCTAAATCCAATGGAAAATGTGTGAAGAATATTGGCAAAGAAAGTTTATGCTGATAATCGCCAATTTGGAAACGTTATATTGCTTAAATTGGCGGTTTTGCAAGAGTGACATAAACTGGATGCCGCTTTACCGAAGACATTATGTCTAAGTATAAGGAAGCCCATTTTTCAGTTAATTAAAGTCAATGGAGCACAAATAGAGTATTAGAAGGACATATTTGCATGTTTTACTCATTTTATTGGGATTTCTTTTTTTGGATCTATAGTTTTGCAACAAGTAATTTTAAATTTTTTGAGTTCTTTTAAATTAGGTTATGATTATAAAAAAAAAATAACCACTCTATTATAATAGAGCTCTTACCATGCAAAAGTCATTGAAGAAAGTTTTGACCTAACTTGATTGTGACGGCTGTTTCAAAGACTTTTGTACTGGATTTATAATTATGCAACGGAGTGTATATAAAATTTTTCGATAGGAAACGTAGTTTAATTGTGGTTAGTTGCAAAAATATATCTACATATCATTTACTAGCAGACCTTGCGAACTTCGTTCCGCACAAAATACATTTTTGTTTATTAAAACTTTTTGGTCCAACATTTTCACCAACAATTCACGTCTACGATTTTCATTGGCACATTCATCTGCTAAGATTATGGTTTGGTGGTCATTTGCCGCTTTAAATAACCTAACGAAAGTGTTATGTGCGTGAAGAAGTTCTTGAAATTCTCTAATTATGCAGCATTTCATAGCACGGTTAATCGCAAAACGAAATAAATTTGAAGAAGCTTTTCCTCTTCACTCCCTGGCGGCAACAATGATCCGGTTCTATAGTGAATATCTCCTAGAAGCTTTATAGTATAGCGGGTGGCAATTTCAAAATGGGTGCGTATCATTGATCAACAGAAATCCTATATATGTACCTACACATACATATTTCAGATGAAATACCTTAAAAGCCAGTTTCACGAAGGCAATTTGAGTGAAATATTATTTTTTTTCTGTTAGGTTTCATATTAAATTCAAGTAAAAAATAAATTTTCGTTAAATTGCTTTCATGAAACTGGCTTTTGAGGTATTTCGAAAGGTGGTGATTTGAGATTTACCACTGCACAACACAACCCTGCAGCCGGATTCCAGCATACGCTATCGCTAATTTTGATCGCTAAAAATCTCCAAAAGAATAGCAGGCGCGCCTAACATCTAGTTAAATGCTCCTCATATTTCCAGCTTTGGTTGATTACACATTGCATCTGTTAATTTTATGTTGCGTGCTTTTAGGCCCCACTGATTTTCATTTAGAGAATTTCGGCGATGGAAATTTAGCGTGGCGATTATCAGAATTTCACTGCTGGGGTCTCCGAATGAAGCTTAAACGCATACTAATGTTGGCAAATCGCATCCATTAGGCTAATCGTAACACACGAGAGTTCGATATTCACAATGGTTCAACAGGTCGATTAAGTCTGACATTGACGGCAACTTTTATTTTTTGTCGATTTTTAGTTATAACTCGACCTCAGCATCACCTGGCAGCTCTTTTGGAATTGGACTGCCTTTACCGTTTCCAATACATGTTTTGAATATTCGCCAAATCGGATCATAAAAAAGATTTAGTAATAACTCCACTCCAGCGCCAAATGGCGGGTTAAATTGTGAAGCTAAACTATCCAGAGCCCCACTCAAACATACACAGAAAACTTTGTTAAAATCCCTCCAGCCATTTAGGATTTCTCTCACAAACATACCTACAGAAGAATTATATACACATTCAAAGATAAGTAAAAGTCAGTACGTTTGTAGTTTGCCATGCCCTCTGCTCAGAGAGCCCATTTTTATCCATGAGTTTGGGATTGATTTCATATATCTCCATATGAAGTTCCAGTACTATACCATGAACACTTCCAGAGATATGCAGTATGAAAATTCGTATTGTATGGGAGGGCCCACGCCCTTTTACAATAGCTCCAATTTTTCTCAAGAGTATGCGATTGATTTCATATACATAGTATCTCATTACCAAGTCACAGTACTCTACCATGAATATTTCCAGAGGTATACAGTATGAAAAATTCGGTTTTTATATGAGGTGCCACGTCCCTTTTCCAATAACTCCAATTTTTCTCCATGAGTTTGTGACGGATTTAATATATTTCCGTACCAAGTTCAAAAATTTTACCATGAACGCTTCCAGAAATATGCAGTATGAAATATTCGGGTTATATGGGAGGTACCACGCCCTCTTTTCAAT